TTTTTTTTTGTATCTGCGAAGCAGATATATTGCCATCGTGCGCGTACCGGAAGTCTGTAAGCGTGCTCATAGCCAATCAACGACAGCATAAATGACGTAATGATACTAATTTCAAAATGGCGGTTTACTGAAGGGTGAAACAAAGGCAAATTGTGAATTTACGATTAAAATAATACATCAAACGCAGTCAAAACAACGTCATTTTACTAGTCTGAATATGGCAAATGTCGATAGTGCATTTTTGGCAAGCATTAGAAGGTTTCATCATTTAATACGCAGTGGAAACGAAATGATTCGCAATTTTTGACAAGAAAATTATTGACTAATGGCATTGAGAATACTATTATGAAACTATGAAAGTAATGATTCTTCCACATGTTGCCGTTGTAGGTGTATATCGAGTTGTAAGTGTTGATGTTTATGTACTTCTCAATTTAGCATTTTCATTGGTGACTTTAATTAATATAAATTAGTTGAATGAAACCAATAGAAGGCTATATAATTTCGTAAGGTTACATAATTTCTTTATCAATGATCATAACTATAGACAATTGGTGTCTGCTTTCATTACAGACTTTGATAGATCATTTTTATACAAATTTAGCAGAGTCAGAAGCTAAGTCACACATATTGGAAACATTTCTCTTAAAGCACTTTATAGCAGTATGTGCATTGAATAATTGCTTTCATTAAAGCAAAGCCAAAGTAATAGTGGGTGCATAAAAAACAGAGATTCAGTTTTAGATTGGAATATGAATACTTATAGTAACAGTTGCAACCAGTCATAATTATCAACTTGCTGTATATAACTATATATCCTGGAGGGGGTGCTCCCTTCTTCATCCACCCTGATTTCTGCAACTGAATGTCATTGCCAAGAACACAAGCCAAGCAATTTATACCCCCCTTCACCTATCCCATACTATATTGTCTTATAATCAACAACAACCATATGTCATAATGGGATCTTATTTATAGCACACAATGTACAAAACTAACATAATATTCTGTTTAGTGGATTTTCTTCCACGACAAAATATTATTGCATGGATCTGGTATGCTGAATTATATCATTCTATTCAAGAACTATATGCATCGATTATACTTCTAATTTCCATACTTGTCATCATTTGTTACTGATGAATGACTTTCAATATATGACCTATTTTATATATTTACTAGGAATAAACAGTTGATTTGTGTGCCATCAACCCTGACTATGACATTTTCTAAAATGCAATAGATCAATTATAAACAGCAGAATATGTTGATGTTATGTATCAATTATGGTATAAAAAGGCTTTCAAAGCTCTGCAAATGTATATTGGCACCACCTGTTATCCTGACAACTTTCTATGCATCTACAATGTTCTCGCATGCCTGTTAAAGTTTACTATGAACAATCAAGAAGATTTGGAACCCGAAATGTTTTAACAAGAACACAGCGATGGATTTACAGGGGGGAGGAAGGGGGGAGTGTACTTCCCCATCCCTGGCCAGAGGGGGTGCAGGGGGGGTGCTATTTTTCATGATAAAGCAAAAAAATATTAGAGACAAAATGAGATACAGTAATTTGAGTAATATGATGATAAGCGAACTGTAAACAACAATTACAATTCAATTACTGTAGCCAAGCAAGACTCTGCAGTAGTGAAGCAAGTTGATTGGCGTGCGGCACGCATGTCCAACACAACTCGGCACCAGAGCTGGCAGAGCACCCCACTCTACCGCTGGATCCATCCCTGGAAGAACAGTATAAAACTAAGATGATTCAAGACGAACATCATAAACTGAATATCATCTTTGTGAAGTTATGGCCGGAATTAGTTTCTGCAAGTTGAATATATATCAGCCATTTTATTTTTCTTTCATCTGACATACTATAAATCTCACTTTATTTAACTGGTCAACTGTTAAACATCAGTCCCTTAAAATTTTTACAAGCTACTGAGTATTGATTGAAGCCCTTGGCAACAGCGCAATCACCATGAGCAGATACATGTACGCTTAGCGTACCTATTTTTCTTTTCGTTCTGCAATGCGATTGGTTAGTGTTCTCTAAGTGGCCCTACTTACAGTAGACGCACTGTAAGGTAACAAAGACATTGAATATTAAATTATTGAATTTGAAATAAATGTATTCACACAAAACCTGTTTTTTGTTTTAATTACACAGTTCAGAGTAAAAGTGAAGTTTCGAGTAGAAAGGTAAAAAGTTCAGACTAAATAGTTCGACGAAATAGTAAATGGTTTAGTTGATGGAAATTTTCAGTGTTCATTTGTCAAATAAATGTAAAAAATTCACAACAGAAATAAACTCAATTACAATTAGTATATCGAACTACTGTAGTGCAGCTAATTAATATATCGAGTACAGATAATTAGTATATCGAGTACAGATAATTAGTATATCGAGTACAGATAATTAGTATAACGAGATTTCCAGGATCCAGATCATAAATTGTAACTGGAACCGTCCAGAATGGCTGGCTAATTTTAAACCTGGATTTGGAACGAGGCTCATCAGATTTTAGACTTGGATCAAGTCCATCTCTCAAGAGTCCTAGTCGCGAAGCGACGAGATCGAGCGCGCCCGATCCCGGGACTCTTGAGAGACGGACTTGATCCAAGTCTAATCAGATTTGTTAAAGGGACATTCCAGCTCATACTTTAGAGGTCAGTGGATCCACTTGACCTCTAAAATTAAGGTGGTATGGGACAATACGATTAAATTTTTTTATTTTTAGTATTATGAACTTCGTTTAGGTTGCATATGATAGAACATCACTTGCTGACACCAAAAATACAAACTTCATATGTGCTGTTTCCATGGTTACCGAGCCACACCCTTCTATATAGTGAAAAAGTACCCCTTTTTCGGGACATGATAGCAAGAGTAATAATGGTCATCAAAATATATAGTTAAGTTTGAAGGAAAGTCAATAGATGTATTAAACATGCAAACCTCAAAAAATAACACATTTGATAAAATTTCATTAAAAAAATTAATTTTTTTTCAAAATCGGCAAAAATTGGGTATTCATTGTAGACAAAAAATTTTTTTTATAGATATATTATAATGATAAATAAGATTTTTGAGGTTTGGGTTTTAGATCTATTTACAATCATTATATTCTGAAAATTTTATTAAATTTGGACTAATATTGAATGAGAGAGAGCGTCCCGACTTCGGTAAAATGTCATTTTGAGAAAATCGAGTTCAAAGTTGCACGATAACTTTTGGAGACAAACAAATTACATTTAAACAGATAAATTACATCAAAGTGTATTTGAAATGAACCTGCTGCATATGTTTTTCCTCTTCTACTTCATTCTTGTCACCTTTCCTCTTATTTCTTCCCCTGATGACATTTCTCGGCACTTTATTCTTCTCCTTCGGCTTGTAGCTAGATTTCGTAACACAAAGCCGATCGGCTTCCCTTACTCCAGTAACACAAAAAGCTCCTGAATTTATTACCAAAGGCTTTGAAGACTTCAATAGTTGCTTTGGCACTAATGTTGAAATAATGCATGCTTTGGAGACCTTGCTCAAGGGTTCTACGTCCAACATTTTTCCATTTTCCATGGAAATGACGGTTACGCATCTGTGCGACAAGGTAAATCCCCTTCTTTGCCATGTTCCATCACATGAAACAGCAGTTTCCACAATGTCTTCACCATCCTCAGTCTTCGAGTTGTACATTTCTCTGCTGCATCCTTTATTGTTTGTTCAGCAACATCATTTGCAGCCCATCGTATCACTTTCGTGTGCTGCCTAAATGGCTTTGAGCCAACTAGTGGTGGCATGTTCATTGTAGAACAGAGAACCGAGACATTGGGGATTGCCCACAACCAATTGACCTCACTGCATATACCATTCTTTCATTTATGTAAAAAATAGCTATTTTTCTCTGAAGTATAAAATGTTTCAGTCCATCCACACGAGTTACATGTGTGAGAGAGACATGACCCATTGGTTTTGAACTGTCATCCATCAAAATTATGTCAATTCGTTGAATTGGATGGCAACATATTTTGGAGCAGTGCACAGGATCGAAATATCAGTAAAACGATATCCACTTACTTTATTTTCGTTCACTGTACATAGACACTAAAGTATCACTATAAATTTCACCAAATTTCCTGGCCGAGGCCGACTGCATGCGATGCCTTATCAGAGTTTTCATCTTGAATACGACTGGATCGTCACGATCGTGTACTTCGATTTTGATTCAATGTTTGAAGGGAATTTTGGCTTAGTTTTCCCCGCTTCTACACGGCATGTTGATTCCCTTGAAATCTACGACTCCTTCTTCATGATCTTGCCATTTTGTAAACAGAATGACTTGTAAAATAATCTTGTAAAGAAGCTTTTAAAAATTGCTCTTTAAAGATGGCCGCCGAAGATGAAATTGAAATTGGTGTTGTATTTACAGGCAATACTTGGTGTAACATGCAATAAAAGAGTAACAAAACAAAGTACAGATAGGGAGGGGAGGCTAGGGATTTATTCTGAGTAAAATATGCAAGTTTAAATTAACCAATGGGATGGTTTTTTCAACAGAATCTCGTTGCTATGGTGGTTGCTAAGGACCAAAACTACAAACAATGATATATTTTTCAATATCTTCCCGTTTTCTTCGCGCAAATAAAAAAAATAACGCCGGGAAATGAAAAAGCAATGATCAATGATGTATAATATGGTTGTTTCGAAAATTTGACTTTTTCACAAAAATATTGTCCCAGACCACCTTAAATACGGCTCGAACAACAGGCCCATTGCAGGCAGTGTGACTAGACTTGGTAAAAAGTTTTACTTTTGGTAAAATTTCGTGCATTTTCGTAAATATTCAAGGAAATTTGGTAATAAGTTTTTTTGGGGGGGAAATTTTGGTAAAATCTGAAAGGTTTTAATTATTAACCATCATTACTTTACATTATATTACATTACCATAATTTTGGGAAAAATATGTGTTTCTTGTTTAATAACGTGTTCAAAGTGATGAACAGAACTGCCAAGCCTAAGATAAAAAGCCTTATCATTAGCAAAAACTGCAATACGATGAAAGCAACAAATATTTCAAGGTACCTTTTTGCACATATTCTTTCTACTTTGATGACGCAACTATCGTTTTTGGCATCATTATGACGTCGTTATTTGGGAAGCCGACATTTGGTAAATCTTAACTTAATTTAGTAAAATTTGAGCGAAATTTTGGTAATGACTTCTGAAAAAATCTTGTCGCACTAGCAGGCGCTATTTTTTTGGGGGGGAGGGGGGGGGCAAGGGTGGGAGAAGCTAGGGGGAATGCGAAGGCGAGAGAAAGAGAGCGAGGATAAATAGAAGGGGTGAGAATGAAATAGCTTTCTCGCCCCCCTTCCATTTTAACTCGCTCTCTTTCTCTCCCCTTTGCATCCCCCCCCCCCGAGCTAATTCTCTCGCTCTCCCCCCTAAAAAGCGCCTGCTACGCAGGCTAGGTCGCCAGTGCTCTCACTTTTAAGGAATTATCCTTAAAAATAGGAATTTTGAAGACTTTTAAGGATTTTTTTAAGGAATTTAGGTTTTTGAGGATTTTTTTATTAAGGAATTTCCGAAATATTTTATCCTGGACTAAAAACGCTGGACAGAGGATAATCACGCCACGCAAATGAGATCTAACTTGAAAGTAGCAACATTATACGCATATAATTACATTTAGTATAATTACATAGGTGATTATTGAAAGTTCTCCACGCTGATTGGTTGCCGTTGAGGTGATTATTACGCGATAATGAGTGTATCTAAAAGTCGAGGGTCGAGAGTCGAGAGTAAAGGTCGAGAGTCGAGAGTAAAAGTCGAGAGTCGAGAGTAAATGTCGAGAGTCGAGAGTAAAAGTCGAGAGTCGAGAGTAAAAAGTCGAGAGTCGAGAGTAAAAAGTCGAGAGTCGAGAGCGAGAGTAAAAGTCGAGAGTCGAGAGTAAAAGTCGAGAGTCGAGAGTAAAAAGTCGAGAGTCGAGAGTAAAAAGTCGAGAGTCGATCGAGAGTAAAAAGTCGAGAGTCGGCAAATGTCATCAGAAACAAAGTCAAAATATTTTTATTTTTTAACCACGTTTAACACAATCTATATATATATAGCTTTACATAGCCATTCCGTAACAAGTACCAACGGCTGAAATACAAACTTTCCAATAAATATTGCTACAACAGTCAATAATCAGTGGCGGAAATTCACTTTTTCCGGTGTGGGGGGGGGGGGCAAAGCCTCCTAAATTTCCGACAAAACTTTGAAATTTCCGACGAACCCCCCCCCCCCCATTTGCACTCGAAAAGACTGTTTTTAGCCCTCTTTTAGATCAAAATTTCCGAAAATTCGTCAATTTTCCGGAAGGTGGGGGGGGGGAGATTTCCGCCACTGTCAATAATAATAACGTGATAACAAAAACAAAAAAGTTTGGATAAGAAAATAATAATATCGAATTAGATGCCTCAATCTTGCTAAATGTTTTCACATGTCATTTCATTCTAACTGACATGCACATAAACTTCGCTGAATTTTGACAGCCATCTCCAGGCTTGTAATTAAAATGCAGTGGCGGCGCCAGGCTTCCAAATTTGGGGGGGCATTTGAGGGGCAAACTCAAATTTTGGGGGGGGGGCAAGATAGAATTTTTAAAAAGATCGCCCCCCCCAGGAAATTCGGGCCCCCCTCAAAACGTGGCGATATTCCTAGGAATATCGCCCCCGGGGGCGAATATCCTAGGAATATCGCCTCCCAGGGGGGTGGGGCGAATACCCTAGGAATATCGCCCCTCTTTAGGACATTCGCCCCCCATATATGCGATGTGGTTTATTCAAATAATTTCGTGATACTTTCATCTTATTATTGCCTTACACGTTTGAGAATTTAACTCTGCAAAACTAAAGCTTTTTGTCTTTTTTTGAAACGTATTATTGGAGTATTGGCAAGTTTTACCATTCAGAGATTTACAAACTAATATTGAAACTGTAAAAAACAGTTTCATGTATACGCGCATTCACTAATGAGTAATGACAACTTATAAGCCATACATTTTCCGATAACTACAAAACGCTTGTGTAGCCTTTAGTCGCTCTTAGTGACTAATAATTTTTTTTGAGGGGGGGCAAAATGGGGGGGGCAAAAAATAAATTTGGGGGGGCATTTGCCCCCCCTTGCCCCCCCCTGGCGCCGCCACTGTTAAAATGTCACTTATTCATTAACGTACGTTTACATCAAACGAGAACGTATTAAGAAATCCACGTTGATCACAATCTAACGATTCATACAATTGTGAATTCATAAATACGAGCCAGTAAAAATAGGATTCTTTTGTCGTATGTGTGACTCTATCGGGTGGTAATATGTCTCGCACGTGATTGTAAAGTCCTAGTATTTATATGTAGCTTCACATATGAGTAATTTTTCGCGGAAATAGGTGCATGCAAAAGTGGGAAGGATGAACAGTATTATATAAGGAAGCGATAAAACTAGTTATTAGATAATAGTTATTATTATTGAATGTTGTGGCTAAATTTTTGCGAAAGTTTTTGTTTTATATTATACTGGATTATTCCTTTGATTGTATATGCCTCTTGTTTACTTTAATTTCGAGAATTTGAGCATACTAAATCATGTTTCGCAAATATTGTTTGCTTTATGTTCCGATACACAGGAAATGAAATTAGTTCAGCCGTCATAGGCGTACGGGCGGGAAGAAATTTACCCGATCGACTTTTACCCACTGAATAAAATTTTCCGTGTAACTAAATTTCCAAAATTGTCGTTGGGAAGTAGATAAAAATATTTTCCTATTTGTCGTTTCCTCGTTACTTTACATATTTCTGGTATTTTCGAATACCATATTGCATGTACTGTCTTCTTTTTAAATTTATTTCCCCCAATTTTTGCCCGAATTTATACGTTTATAATTTGCATGACTTAATTTATTTTGACCGGGGGACGGGACTGCCTCCCTCCCCCCCTCGCCCGTACGGCTATAATCAGCCGTTGTTACGGATCGGTTATATATTGTGTTAAAAGTATTTTGACTTTGCTGTTTCTGATGACATTTGCCGACTCTCGACTTTTTACTCTCGATCGACTCTCGACTTTTGCTCTCGATCGACTCTCGACTTTTTACTCTCGACTCTCGACTTTTTACTCTCGACTCTCGACTTTTACTCTCGACTCTCGACTTTTACTCTCGACTCTCGACTTTTACTCTCGACTCTCGACTTTTACTCTCGACTCTCGACCTTTACTCTCGACTCTCGACCCTCGACTTTTAGATACACTCCGCGATAATCACCTAAGCGATTTTCAAAATGGCGGCCGAAGCCATTTTGTCAATTAAATGACAAAGAAATGTGTATTTTCTTATTTTTTTTTCCAAATAATCACCTATGAAATTATACCAAAACAATTATTCACCTCAGGCTCGGTGATCATCGTGAATAAAAACCTCGACTTCGTCTCGGTTTTTATTCACCGATAATCACCTCGCCTTCAGCGAATAATTGTTAAATATTCGTATGTTCTCTATGTCATAAATGTTCTTATGTTCCTGTACCAATTTGGTTCCAGTACCAAATAACACAAATCACACTCATATAACGTAATTGTCATCATAATATAATAGTATATGTTTCTGTACATGGCTTGGCATGTGATTTATAACAAAACTTAAAACAGTGTTTTGAAACCCTAGTTTTTCACAAAATGTGTTCACAGAACGCTGCAAATGCCATTTCCGGGATTCAAATTTTAAAATTTTTCCGTGCCTTTGGCACAAGCCTCCCCCCCCCCCCAACATTTCGTAAAGTGTCCGCCACAGGTCTTTTCATTAAAATTCTCAAAAGTTAAATGTCAGTATATGCTGTTTCTTCTGAAATCTACAGATTTTTTAAGCTCTTCATGCAGCAACAATCAAAAATACATCATGTTGAATGTTTTCTTTATGGCATTACGCTAACAATCAAATGCTTAGAAACAAGGTTATAAAAACTGCAAAAAGGAGGAAAAAAACACTTTTTGCAACTGTGTGATCAGGCCTTCTGGTAATTTTACCAATTTAAGGAATTTTAAGGAAATCTGAGGAATTTTCGAGCTTTTTCTAAGT